CTGCACTCCAGCCTGGGCAGCAGAGTGAGACTCTGATTAAAAAAAAAAAAAAAAAGAAATACTTGGCTAGATAGTTAATGTACCCAAAGCTATAGTAATTATCACAAATTCAGAGTATAATTTAAGGTTACCTACAATTAACTACAATATCAACACTCTAATGAAAAACTCTTGATAATGTGTCACTTTACTATGTGTTCGTTCTTATTGGGATGACCAGAATCAATATTAAAGACACTAGTGGCAAAAATGCTAGTCTTTAAAACTCTTGCTTCCAAAATTTTGAAAAACTTAGAGGCAGTCAAACCAGTTTCCACGGGGACTAAAATGCATTCGTTCTGCATAGCAAAGGGAGCAGCGATTTTAAAGCCACAGAGAGTCAGAGCCAAGCTGAACCCACCCCTCACCCGAACAGAGTAGGCAACTGAACTTGGAGAGGTTAAGTGGCTGGCCCAGGATCACACAGCTACAAGATGACAACCAGGACCAAATGCCGGGCTCTTAACACTAATCCATTACAACACACTGATCACGCACTCCTAGTTCAGAACGGCCTTCAGGATTTGGCAGGTGGCAGACGACCACACATGGGTCAGAGGAGAGAACACTCCAATACCGCCCCTTCTTGCTTTGGGCCTATCCAGGCAGCTCTGGGGAAGAGAAGATAGCTTAACTTTACTTTTTTTTTTGTTTTGAGTCGGAGTCTCACTCCCTCACCCAGGCCGAAGTGCAGTCGCACGCTCACAGCCACCCCAGCAACGACCCACAGGGCTCAGGTGATCCTCTCACCTCAGCCTCCCAAATGCTGGGATGACAGGCTTGAGCCACCACGCCTGACCAACTTTACTTTTTTTTTTTTTATGCAAAGAGTCAGCTCCTATCTCCTCTTCAAGGTCTTCTTCTTCCTTCCTGCCTATATGTCTCCTCCATTACTAATCCACCACCCTTACCCCAAGCCTCCCAAAAGTCCATTATTCTCAGTTTATTGCATCAATCAAGATGATCAGCCCTGAAGGAACTGCCTTTCTTGGTTCTAAGGAGTGGGAGTTTTTCATACTTTCTGTGGAGCGATCATTCCGCTGGGTGTCTTTGGTACCTACCCAGCCAAGACATCATGGTCACATCCTCTTCAGCACAAGAATCAGGGACACACACGCCCACGCTGTAGTCGGCTCCATCCTGGGAAACACGATGCCACAATGATCGTTTATTACAGTGTTCACAGCACATATGCGTGATCAATCTGAGGGAGGCTGCCACTAATTAATCAGACTGGAAGAGGGAAGAGATGATTGGGGAAAGAAATAAAGTGTTCTGACTGAAGAGATGGCTTTTCCCGCCAGGCGTGGTGGCTCACGCCTGCAATCCCAGCACTTTGGAAGGCCAAGGTGAGAGGATTGCCTGAGCCCGCAGGTTCGAGACCAGCCTGGGCAACTTGGCGAGACCTCATCTCTACAATAAATCAAAAAATTAGCTGGGCATGGCGGCACATGCCTGTAGTTCCGGCTACTCGGAAGGCTGAGGTTACTTGATCACCTGAGCCCAGCAGGTCAAGGTTGCGGTGGCCGGGAGCGTGCCACTGTCCTCCAGCCTGGGTGACAGAGTGAGACTCCAACTCAAAAACAAATACCAAAACAAAACGAAGCAAAAAAAACAAAAAAAGAGATGGCTTTTCCCGTACAGAGTGGTTCAAGCAGATTTCCAAGCATCAGATGCACCCCTGTTTAAGTAAAAATACGCCCCAAGGCTTAATGTAGCTGATATTTCAAAAGCAGCCACTAGTTTCGATAGTCTATTTCACTTCCCCTCTCCCATATTAGAGGTTGTTAAGAGTTAACTCTCCTATAGTTCTCAGTACAGTTTCCAAGTTTTCATTGCTGGGTGGCAGGACACATTATATCAAGGAAATATTTTATTAATCAAGCGAATAATGAAATTAGAATGCCTGCCTCAATAAAGAAAACATCAAATTACAGCTAAAAATGTCTGGGCTGGTTCTTCTAAACACATATTTACAGAACTGTGGAGGCCTGACCTTTTGCAGTAATATCAAAACCATTAATCTTCTTTGAAAATGACATTTGTACACACTGATTAAGCCCTCAAGCAATCATTATCCCAACCGTCAGCAGGACAAATGGACGAGGTGATAATCTCCCTGTCTTCATGGGTACCCATTGCAAAATGATTTTATAGTATTTATATCAGAGAGCTTGGATTTATTTATTTATTTGTTTGTTTATTTGTTTTGGTATCAGGGTCTTACTCTGTCACCCAGGCTGGAGTGCAATGGCACAATCATGGTTCACTGCAGCCTCATCCTCTTGGGCTAGAACAATCCTCCTGTCTCAGCCTCCCTAGTAACTGGGACAACAGACATGCATCACCACACCTGGTTATTTTATTTTATTTTTTTGTAGAGACAGGGTCTCACTATGTTGTCTAGGCTGGTCTTGAACACCTAGGCTCAAACAATCCTCCCGCCTCAGCCTCCCAAAGTGCTGGGATCACAGGCATGAACAACTATGCTTGGCCTGGATTTCTTATTGTTATTTTATACAATTGGTATTAACGAACTAGTAATGTAATTTTCTTTTGGTATTCTGTGACACACATAAAATCTTTGTATTTAATTAGAGACTGTGCCATTTTTAGTTTCATTTTGTTTTGCTTCTGAGCAGTAAAAGGATTAACATGCTTTGAAGATAGCGAGCCCTGCCAACTTGGTGAACTGATTCGGTACTGTTTTTTGTTTTTGTTTTGTTTTGTTTTGACTTGGGGGTCTCACTCCATCGCCCAGACTGGAGTGCAATAGCACACTCATGACCACCCCAGCACTGGCCTGCTGGGCTCTGGAAATCCTTCCACCTCAGCCTCTCAAGTAACCGGAACTACAGGTGTGCACTACCACACATGGCCAATTTTTGATTTATTGTAGAGACAAAGTCTCACCATGTTGCCCAGGCTGGTCCCGAAACCTGCAGGCTCAGGCAATCCTCTCGCCTCGACCTCACGGGATTACAGGTTTGAGCCACCACACCTGGCGGTAATGTTTTTATAAAAGTCATGACCCATCAGCTAAGATAACTTCAAATTTGTGTTTAGAGCTCTGTTTCTGGAAAAGGGATTAAGGGTGATGTAAAGTCTACCCTCCCTCTGGTTTTTCAAAAATTGATGGTGATAGTGTTCAGGAACTGTGTATTTTATTATTGTTATTATTTTAGTTGGGGATCTCACTCTGTTGTCCAGGCTGGAGTGCAGTGCCATGATCACAGCTACCACAGCCTCAACTTGCTGTGCTCGGGGGATTCTTCCACCTCAGTCTCCTGAGTAGCTGGGACTACAGGCATTGCCACCATGCCTGGCTAATTCCATTTATTTATTTATTTATTTATTTATTTTTGGTAGAGACGAGGTCTCGCTATATTGCCCAGGCTTGAGCGGAAGCAATCCTCCTGCCTTGGTCTCCCAAAGTGCTGGGATTACAGGCATGAGCCTAGGAACTGTGTTTTAACCTCCTGGACTTGATCCAGCACTGTATCAAGCAATAATGTGTCTCCTTCACAGCAAGGATGCAACGGTAGGGATTTGATCTGGGAGAATGGTAGAGAACTCTTGAAACCCTAAGTAGAGGAGCCCCAATGGTTCCCAGCAGCTCTTGAGCCAAAAAGGCCAAGAGTGCTACTAACAAGATCAAAGAACTTATACAGGATCTTGCTATTGAAGTCTCTGGCCAGGGCTTGACCTTGGATTCCCCATGAAAGTTGTCCAGAGGTCTTGTCTCACTGGAGCGCAGTGGCATGCTCACGGCCACCCCAGCATCCACTGCTGGGCTCCGATGATCCTTCTGCCTCAGCCTTCCAAGTAGCTGGAACCACAGGCGCACACTACCACGCCTGGCTAATTTTTGATTTATTGTAAAGACGAGATCTCGCCAAGTTGCCCGGGCTGGTCTCGAACCTGCGGGCTCAGGCAATCCACTCGCCTCGGCCTCCCAGAGTGCTGGGATTACAGGTTGAGCCACCAAGCCCAGCCTTGTTTTTTAAAATTTAAGTAAAGCAATTGATGCAGTTGCATTTTGTCCATACCACGACAGTCACTTGTCCTTCAAGGGCAAGCGCACAGGTCCCCACACTCACCTGCAGTATGTGGAGCTTGCAGTACTGTCCTCGGAAGCGCCCCTTGGAAGCATGGGCAGAGAGACACTCACTGTAAGACCCCAGCCTGTCCACATTTCCATTAAGAATGTTGCTCCCAAGCTTTCCCACAGAGTCATACACTGAATTTCAAAGCAAAAGAAGTTTTCAAAATTAGCTTATTTTGTCACTTTTAAACGAATTGATAGGTGCTCAGTTCCACCTTCTAAACCCATCAAACTTACATGACTGCAAAAAGGAGAGGAACAAATCTACTCCGATGCTGTTCACAGTCCTTCTCATCATGGGGGGAGAACAAGGATGTGAATTCTCATGCTATTACATGATCTTGAAACCAGCCCAACTTCCCCATGGAACTAGTGGTTACAGGTTTTTTTTTTTTTAATAAGCAGAAATTTTCCCTCCTGGTCTTAAAGCTTGAAACTTACATTTATCTTATCTGAGTTCTTTTCTCAAGAAACCAACCCTCAGACCTATAGAGACTGAAACTCAGCAGATCATGGCATCCAGACAATGAGATGCCAGAACCCCACCTGTTTACCAATGCCTCTTTCTTACATTTCTGCCCCAGTATATAAGCCCCTGACTTCAGTGAGTCAAGGAGACAGATTTTAAAAGGAATTTCCCATTATTCTTGGCTTATAGTACCTACATAAAATGCCTTCTTCCCTGAAAATTCTCATTGTCTCAATGATTGACCTTCTGTGAGGTGAGCAGCAGGACCCCAAACAAACCCCTGGTGTTTTAGTAACACACTGTAAATAGTTTCTGAAAAAGATGAAGTCTTTGATTTCTTTTTTTTTTTTTTTAATCTTTTCTGGGGAGTGAAAAAATGCAACTAAATTTTGGTAGCTTTTCTTCCTCCTACACACATTCAGAAGATAATATTTGTTTTGAATAGATTTTATCCGGTTTTGTGGGACCTTATTTTGGGGAGAGTTAATTTCTTCTTCTTTTTTTTTTAACCTTAGGAGCAAAAGGGTGGAGTGATCCAGCTCCACAGTTGACGGCATTCTCAGCCCTGGTTCTGCAGTCTTCTGTTTATACTTTTTTATTCCTTTCTGTCCTTCATTTTAAAAATTCATTTTCCTTCATCTTTTCTCAACACTTCCTCTCCCTTTCTCAAATTCCCCCCACTCCATATGTTTGCTGTGTATCCTCTCATTTATATGTGTTCTTGTTTTGAATATGCATATTTGTCATATGGGTAAATGGTTTTGTGCTTCTCAGTTCCCTCTTTTTCTACATATGTCACTCAGCTCTACATTTTCACTATTTTTTTTTTTTTGAGTTGGGGGGTCTCACTCCGTCGCCCAGACTGGAGTGCAGTGGCACGCTCCCGGCCACCGCAGCCTCAACCTGCTGGGCTCCGGCGATCCTTCCGCCTCAGCCTTCCAAGTAGCTGGAACTACAGGCACCCGCTACCACGCCTGGCTAGTTTTTTATTTATTGTAGAGATGAGGTCTCACCAAGTTGCCCGGGTGAGTCTCGAACCCGCGGGCTTAGGCAATTCACTCGCCTCAGCCTCCCAAAGCGCTGGGATTACAGGCTGAGTCACCAAGTCTGGCTATTTTTACTATTTTTAATGTTACTGTGCACATCTAGTACTGGGCTTCCAACTAGTGCATAGTAATCCATCACCACCTTTGACTTAGCTGTTTCCCAGGTGAACACACAGATGACTCCAACCCACACAAGCACATGGTGATCCTTCATCAAACAGGAATCCACTTTGGGTATAATCAGATCCATCAATATTTTGCTTATCAGTTTCATTCTTGGTGTTTTGTAAAGAAATTCTTCCCCATTCATAGATCACAAAAATATCTCCCAACACTATCTTCCTCTAGTTTTACTGCTTGTATGTAAGTCTTTAATTCATCTGAGTCATGGTATGCTTTTTCACCAAAAAGTGGGTCAGTTGTCCCAAAATAATCTCTAAACAGCTCTGCCTTTTATTATGGATTCATGGAAAAAGCAAGTTCCTTCTTATATCAAGGTCTCATATACATGGATCTGCCTCTGAGCTCTCTGTTTTTAGTTTTGTTTCTTCTAACAAGACTAGCTACATAACGTGCAAGACCAGTGTACAACGAAAATGCAGAGCCCTTATTTCGAAATTATTAAGAATTTTGAAATGACGACAGCAAATCACACTTCGACCAAGCACAAGGCTCTTTTTTTTGAGTCAGAGTCACTCTGTCGCCCAGACTGGAGTGCAGCGGCCGCTCCCGGCCACCGCAGCCTCGACCCGCTGGGCTCCGGCGATCCTTCCACCTCAGCCTTCCAAGTAGCCACAACTACAGGCGCATGCTACCACGCCCGGCTGATTTTTTATTTATTGTAGAGATGGCACAAGGCTCTTTTAAGAATAGGTCCCTGCTCAGCCTGTAATCCCAGCACTTTGGGAGGCCAAGGTGAGTGGATTGCTTGAGCCACAGGTTCAAAACCAGCCTGGGCAACTTAGTGAGACCTCATCTCTACAATAACTCAAAAATTAGCCAGGCGTAGCAGCACGCACCTGTAGTTCCAGCGACTTGGAAGGCTAAGGCGGAAGGATTGCCGGAGCCCAGCAGGTCGATGCTAGGGTGGCTGTGAGTGTGCCACTGCACTCCACCCTGGGCAATGGAGTGAGACTCTAACTCAAAAAAAAAAAAAAAGAATAGGGCCTTGTGTGACCTCTCAAGTTGCATGCCTTGAAGCCACAGTCCTGGTTCTAGCACCAAAGCCTCATGATTTTTATTATTATTCATTTGTAGTATATCAATCAATTATTCTGCCTTTAGCCTTTTTTTTTTTTTTTGGATGGCGTGTAATTTATGCAAGTATTTTTTGTGTCCTTATAATTTAACAATTTTTTTCACTTGGTAAATTTAAAACGGGTGACATAAAACAATTTCTAAGTAGGGCATTGTTGACTATTTTCCTTGGTATTTTGTTTTCAATTATATTTTCTTTTTTTTTTTGAGTTGGAGTCTCACTCGAACTCAACTCCAGACTGGAGTGCAGTGGCCGCTCCCGGCCACCGCAGCCTCGACCCGCTGGGCTCTGGCGATCCTTCCGCCTCAGCCTTCCGAGTAGCCGGAATTACAGGCGCACGCTACCACGCCCGCCTGATTTTTTGATTTATTGTAGGGATGAGGTCTCGCTGCCCAGGCGGGTCTCGAACCCGCGGGCTCAGGCAATCCGCTCACCTCAGCCTCCCAGTGGCGCGGGATTTCAGGCTGAGCCACTGAGCCCAGCTTCAATTATATTTTCTAATTTATTGTTGCTGGTATAGAAAAAAGTTATGGATTTTTATAATTCTGAAATCTGGCTAAAACTACTGAACTTTCCTATTAGTGCTACAGTTTTATTTCTTCCTCTTTAAACTTTATACCATTTCTTATTCCTTATCTAGTTTTGAAATTAAAATCAGAATCAAATTTACAAAGTGAGCTGGGCAGCTTTCATTTTTCTTATTTTCTGTGATTATTACTTATTTGTCAGAGTTTAATGATGGTGGGGGAAGGAGGTCGTATATGGCTTAAGGGAGTAATGCAAGAGATATCTTTGTGGTGAAGGAATTATTTGGGTTTGGGGGGGTTTTTTTGGTGGTTTTTTTTTTTAAGTTGGAATCTCACTCCATCGCCAAGGCTGGAGTGCAGTGGCACACCACAAGGCCACCACAGCCTCAACCCGCTGGGCTCCAGCAATCCTTTTGCCTCAGCCTTCCAAGTCACTGGAACTACAGGCACACGCTACCATGCCTGGCTAATTTTTTATTTCTTGTAGAGACAAGGTCTCACCAAGTTGCCCGGACTGGTCTGGAACCCGCGGGCTCAGGCAATCCAAAGAGCTGGGATTACAGGCCGAACCACCGAGCCCGGCTGATGGAATTGTTTTGCATCTTGATTGGAGTGTGGTTTACATGAATCTACACATGGACTGTAATGACATTAAACTATACGTATGCACAGATGGTATCGATGTCAATTTCCTTTTAAAAAAAATATTGTACTGTAATTATGTTAGGTATGATGGGAAAAGTAGATAAAAGATAAGTAGAACTCTTCCCGTTCCATGATTTCATGGATTCCGTATTTGTCTACTTGGCATCCATTCATTACAGAGTTAGCTGAATTAACTCGATTTTCTTATTTTCTGTCTTCATAAAGCTCTGATATTTGTGACCTGGCTGGCCAAGAAGAGACTGCCCTTCCCAGGGCTAGCCAATTCTTAGAAGTAGCAAAGGCTTATCCCAGGATACCTTTTATATCTTTGATAAGCAAACGAATAAATTCAGAGCCCACTATTTCCCTTATCAAACTCTCACACACTGAGTCAATATCCCTCTACCTCAGTCATCCTAGGGCTAGTGCCGAGCAACCAGAGACTGCCCAGATTACCAGAACCCACCAACATCATTCAAGCTAGCCAGTCCTAAATGTTTACCCTCCTTACCTTCTCTACAGAAACCCCAATAAAGAGAGTGACCTATGCTTTTTCCTCTCTTCTGCCTCGAGACCAACCTTGTGCTTCCTTTTGTGGCTTTGTGTGGTGTGACGTGCCCCTTCCCTTTAGCAAAAGCAAGTAATAAAAATCATCTTTCAATGGCATTGGCCACTCCGTGTCACCTCCTTAAATTAGATAGTAAGTCACCTCCATACATTAAAATCCTGTGGGTACAATTGATATGCCTCTGAACTATTTTTGCAACTTCCTGTGACTCTATAATTAAAAATGATTAAAAGGTTTCAAACAATAAAGCAAGGGGGCAGCTTTTACACTTTTGATGTTTTCTGAAATAACTGTGAATTATAGATGGTAAAAAGTTGGGGAGAAGGCCAGGCGCGGTGGCTCAAGCCTGTAATCCCAGCACTTTGGGGGGCCGAGATGAGAGGACTGCCTGAGCTCAAGGGTTCAAGACCAGCCTGGGCGACTTGGTGAGACCTCGAAGCTAATAAATAAAAAAATAAACTGGGCATTGTAGCACGTGCCTGAAGTTCCAGCTACTCGGAAGGCTGAGGCAGAAGGATCACCTGAGACCGACAGGTTGAGGCTGCGGTGGCCAGGAGCATGCCACTGCACTCTAGCCTGGGCAACAGAGTGAGATTCCAACTCAAAAAAAAAAAAAGTTGGG